ACAAACCTAGCCAAAATTTCCAAAGAAAAGCAACATATTTCAACTGGAAACATGAGTAGATAAAAGGAATGCTCAGACAGCTACAAGTTGCTCAGCTGATAAATGCTTTCAGAGCAAACCACTGGGATTTGACCGTGTTTCCAAGCTAAATATATCAGTCACTTTTTATGATACATAAAACAGGAAAGATAAATGATCTGATATGCTGCAAAACACTGAAGTGGTGTAAACAGCTGACGTGCTCACACACGCACCAGATGACTTGGTAATTCTCTCCAGAATCTTACACCTCTAGAAAAAAACTGATTGTCATGGGTTACTGTTAATTAAAATAAAAGTGTCATGTTTGGGATTTTTGATGAAAACAGTTTTGATATGTCTTAGTTGATGGATGGCAGTACTCACACAGAGCCAAAAACTCTTCTACTTCTTGCACTGCCCTGCCAGTGAGGAGCTAGGGGTACACAAGCAACAGGGAAGGGACACAGCCAGGACAACTGACTCCAAATGGCCAAGGGAATGTCCCATACCATATGGCCTTCCAGGCTCCAAGCGTACACTGCTGGCTTTTTGTCCATCAGTACCGCTGCTATCCTCCTCCACAGAGCTGAACAATAAAAGAGTGTATTTCATACACTTTTATGCTCAAGTTAGACATTCTCCTTTATATAACTAATGAAAATGGTTTTTACGTATCTGCTTGATTTCTCACTGAAGCTTATTAAATAATGTTCATATTTTCTACTCTCCTGACTGAGCAGAGGGGCAACAACCCCCCCGGCGACTGGTGGTGATAAGCAGCCAGAGTACATTGCATTTTCAACTGCTCCACATAGAGCCATTAAAGAACATCTGCCTATGCTGCTTCTTGTAGAAAAGGAATACACTTTCTCCCACTTGACATTTCTTTCCCCTGCAGGTGAAAAAAAAAAGAGTTCTTATTGTAATTTACCAGCAATTAACTTTTCCCTGCATTGGCACTCTGTTCCTCCACTTAGGCCCATAGCATTCAGCACACACAGAATTCTTGCCAGACCACTTGACTGGTTTTAAATAACAATCTGCTTAACCAGAAATACTGACATTTAAAACATATTTCTTGCATCAAGGCTCCCAACTTCCCAATACAGTCAGTCACATGAATCCCTAGGGAAAGTGAGCAACTATCTCTTCTCATTAAAAATACTCCACCATTGTTGCCCAGAAAATTGTTTATAAAATGAAAATGACAGAGTAGCTCTGCTAACCAGGTAAGATCACCATCCCTACTTCTTTATGCTAGGCTTAGTGCCAGAAGCACAGTTCAGAACATTAAGTTTATTTGAGCTCTTCTGGCAGAGGTTTGAAAAGAAGCCTGAATAACATGGATATCTGTTATCTGTTCATTATCCAGTTCTTGTGTCCTGCCCACACTGCTTTGTCAGTGAAAGCTGATCTCTCCTCAGTGCTCTTGTCCATGAATTCATTTGCATTTCTCATCCCATTTCAAGCAATTGGGACAGTCCTGAATCTGTAAGCATATGAAAGTCCTGGAAAAGACAGTGGATGTTAGAAGAACTTGTGACAGCAGGGAACCCAATGCTTATAAAGTCACCACATATTTTAAACACTACTACTGCTTAAGCACACCAGAAATACAAAAAATTGGCATGCACAGAGGAGCATACCAAGGGTGCAGTGTCTGATGGAGGAGACTAAACTTAATTACTGGCATAAAGTTGTGCATTCTGCTACAACCATGAAAATGCACCACCTTCAAGTAATTCAAATGCACAAGTGTTGCAGAAGGTATCCACCAAATAAGTGTGTGATCTGTGTATAAGAATGACAACTACAGATGTGCATTCCCATCTGGAAGCAAAACATTCCTTGTCTGAACTCTTTTAGTTCTTAAATCTCATGAGCTTTTTTCTTGAAACTCAAAGCACAGCTCACTGGGACACAGCTGCAATGCAACCCGGTTTCCATGTCAAAATCTAGAAGACATGGCCTCTTGTCATTCAAACTCACTAATTTTACCAGGTCTTTTAAATTTTTTACTTGCATCCATGAGAATAATAATTTAAAAAAAAAAAAAAAAATCAGGTTTAATTCTTAATTTCTTCTTTTATATATATAAATATATATTGTATATATATATATATATATATATATATTTGTTTTGGTGTTATTCCTTTAACATTGTGAGCTGATGCTTTAAAAGAAGAAACTCAACTGTACAATGAACTATAAATTATAGTAATGAGTACATGTCAGCAACTACTGCTATCACCATCTGAGACCTGCACATTTCATTTCAGACTCCCAAGCCCTAAGTTCCTGTACAAGGAGAGCCCTGTGCTGGCTTGGCAGAACAGAGTAAATGCAATGCAGTCAAAGTTGAACACCTGGGACATGCAACAGAATAAGTGTGCTTAGTGAAATAACAACAGTGGAAAAAGTCAAGCATCTAAAAACACTGCTAAATGGCTCCTAATGGGCTACAAAAGTATAAAAACTTACTCTCCCTAACTTCTCCAAAAGCAGAAATAGCAAGGCAGTACAATGAGAGCTGCTTTCAAGATCTGTGTTTGGATTACTTACAGAGGGTCCCAGCACCAACACAGGTCTTAAAACATGATCAGCACTTCATGCAGGGACAGAAACTATCATCTCAATCAGTTCAGTTCTGCTACTGATAACTGCACACTACTCCTCTGCCCCTGAGTAGGAGGCAGCCACTGCTGTTTGTACAACACAGAAATGGAACTCAAGGCTGTCTCTGTATCATACACCTGATTAAAACATCGTGTACTTATTTCTCCTCTTGGCACAATGCACAGTGGATGAGTAATCAGATTTTATTTCCCCATCAATGAAATCCTGTCATAATTGGAACAGAAAGTCGTAGCTGTGTATCAAAAGACAGCAGTATTTCATGCTACGTTAGAAACAGGAGAGTACTACAAACAAACCAAAGTCAAAGGAGAATTCATGATGATGATACATCCTGACTGTAATATCGACAATAAATGAGAGTAATTCAAAAGGGAGCTCTCAAAGTTCCTTGGCCAAAAATGAATATACCAAATGTGCCACAAAGCAATTTTTCAGCTAATGCAGTCTCAGATCCTTCTTCTTACACTATTACTATATGAACAGTAAACATCTAATTCAGAATATAGAAGGAAAAGCATATTATTAGAATTCCAGCTGTGTGCTAAGTTCTCTGTAAGCATGGCACTGGAGCAGAGAAAATTGATACTTAAAAGCTGTACTCCAAAACAGAATAGTTTGCTTTTCAGAAGAACTTCCTGAGCTTCAAGTATAAGGCATCTTTGTTTCAAATGACTTAGAAGTACTCAGATGGGGAGTTAAATTAAAAGAATAAATTGCCTCATTCACTTTTTAACAGTAAAAATTCAGCAGGAACATACAATTTGATGAAGGCTTTCCTAACATTATGCCAGGATGCTGTGCACTGAGGTGAATTTTTTGTCTTTTTGCTGCTAAAATAGCTTTCTAGTTTTTTTTTTTTTCCCCAAGCCAAAGACTATAAAGTAACATAACAGGTTTTAGAAAGGAATAATGTATTTTATTCCCCTCAAAAATACAGTTGAGCTTGCAGAAACTTCAAAAAGAATTGTTATATAAAAAGGAAGGCATAGAACTCTCTATGGAAAATGAGTGCAGCTTTGGAAAGTTGAACAAGGGTTTCATTTTTCAGATCTCATCGTTATGTTCTCAGTCTGCTGCTGAGAAATGCAACACTCAGTAAGAGGAAGCTGGTGACCGGTCAGCTCTTCTACTGTGAAGTACCATCACAGAATCACCAAGATTGGAAAAGACCTACAAGATCATCCAGTCCAACTGTGCACCCATCACCAGTAGTTCTCACTAAACCATGTCTCTCAACACAATGTCTAAATGTTCCCTGGACACCTCCAGGGTTGGTGAGTCCACCACCTCTGAGCAGCCCACCACCAGCTACCATTTAATGGAAACACAGGTGCTGCTTATCAGTTGAAAAAAGGGATAATGTGATAATTCTTTTTTTGTTTTTGAGTGATAGTTACAGACGTACTTTACCTAATGTGCAACTGAGTTCTGGACTGAAAACAAGGAAACTGAAGAAAACTTAATCCAATTTACAGTCGCCTTTCACACACACTTGACTGTAGTTGAAAAATCAGTAACTGTTAATGAACAGAAAGTTCTTCTCTGTGAGAGTACTGAAGGAACGCTCACTTATTTGGAAAAACAGCTTGCCATCACTGCAGAATCAAAGTGTACTTTGAAGTGTAATGTACATTCATGGGCAAAAAGTAGAGATAAAATTCAAACATACAATCAAAGCACCAGTAAGTAAGCATTGGCATATTACAGTAGACTGAAAATAATACAACTAAGCATACGTGTAAGTACAGGTAGCTCCTGTGTATGTATTCATACACAATACATGTTATCACATATAGTTATTTTTAGGAGAGAACAACGACATTATAACTAGCTAGCATTTCTGACTCCAACAATTCAATGATTTCCTATCGTTTGACCTGCATTTGCAGTCAGTGTTCTTTCATTGCAAAAATGTCTTAATCAATTGCAGTGAGGTTAATGAGTACGTAAAGCTGGGTTTTTCTGACCGACAACAATGTAACACAAAAATAGCTTAAAAGGTTAAGGGCCACCTGCTACAGATTTCTTCTCTTTTCTTAACGTAGGGTGGGAAGCATTCAAAATATTTCGTAGCTCAACCTGGTATCGACTAGAAGTGGCAGTGCCGCACGGCACGGCAGTTAGACAGTGAGTTCTCCTCCCTCCCGTCCCAAGCTCATCACAGCGGCTACGTGTGAGCCGCGCACTGCCAGCCGCACAGCAGCAGCGGCCCGGGGCGAACCGCTCGGAACGGTCAGAGCGCAGCGGCACGGCGGGGCGGCGGCTCCCAGCTCCTCCCGGAGCCCCGGCTGCCGGCTGAGCCCCAGCGCGGGGCAGCCTCACCTCCCCGGGAAGCGACTTACCTTGGTGAGCTGGGCGATCTTCTTGCACATTTGCATGTGAATTTCCTTATTGTATCCTTCTGCCGAAATGCCGCGAGGGGCTTTAGATCCATTGCAAGTCCCGGGTTGCCGGCTCTTGTTTATGCCGGAGGCCATTAAGCTTTAAATATTCTAACCGAGTCTGTCTTTATACGCTCCGGGCTGCGCTTTCCCGTCCTGCTGCTCGCCTCCCTCTGCGCTCACTCCAAGCCCGAAGCGCTGCAGGAAGTTCAGCCCCAGCCCCGGGCTGGAGCAGCTGCTTCTCCCATGCGCGCAGATGTCCCGCTCCTTCAGCACAGCACTCGGCCGAGGCAGCGAGCAGCACGTGCGAGCCTCACGAGCGGGAGTTCTTTTTCTTCTCCACTTCTAAGGGTGCTTCCGCCAGGAGGAGATGCCAGCGGCTGGATGCTACGCTTTCCCCACAGGACACGCCGAGCAGCGGCACAGACGTCGGTGGGGATCCAATAGAGAGACTGCCTGCAGATTAAATCGCGTTGCCTTTTTGGGCTGCTGCAGGGATCATCTGAGAGGATGATTCGGGCACCTTTCATCAGCTCTGTTAGTTGGCAACCCTTTGCAAGTCCAGGTGGACCAATAAAGTGGCAAAGAAAATCTTGATCAATTTTTGCTGCTCTGCTGAAAGCAGAATGAAGGGGTGCTTCCACCTCCGCCCCGTAGCTGAGCCCTGGTGGGCCTGCCAGCTCCCCTGGGCTGCCAGCTCCCCTCGGCTGCCCTGTGCTCACATAGGAAAGGCAGGAAGAAAACTGACACTGCTCACTTGTCTTCATTTGCAGCCATTCCCTCTCTTCAAAAGGCCAAGCACTCCACACTTAAAAATAAGAAAAAAAAAAAAAAAAACCGCTGAAAAAAGCAGGCAAAAAGCAGAAATATGCAAGATACTAAAGTAACATCTTTTTTTCTTAAAAAAGAAAATCGTTAGTGAACACGTTTAAACAAGTCTAGGAAAGGAGAAGAAAGCAAAGTAAGGTGAAAATAAAGAGGTAAAGATGAAAAAGGAGAAAGAACAGGTAGTGGAAGCTGAGTGTTGCTCAGCATCCTGTGATTGTCACCGCAGCCCACAGAGCAAGGTAAGGGGCCCGCAGCCACTCGAGGGAACAGAGGCTACTCCTGCCCCCAGACTCACCTCCTGGCAGTGCCTTCCTTCCTCCTGGGCTAGAAGCTTGTGCTGGGCTTGAAAAAGAGCTTCAGAGCTTCCTCAGGGCACTCACGATTGGAAAAGAGGATTATCCGAAGTCAGCTAAGAGCACCGGGAAAAGAATCTGTGAAAAAGAGAAATCCTCAATGAGGGCAAAAAGAGATAAGGCACTGCTAAGCATAAGCACTCATAAGAGGAGACACATTGGGCAGAAGAACGCCTGAAGGCAGCAGGGTAGAGAGGGAAGAGTGAGAAGATATAGGAAGAGAGGACTTTGGACACAGAAACCAAACCCTTTAATTGCTGGGAGAAAAAAGGGGGACCTTAAATGAAGGCTGACTGAGAAAGTCATAGGAGATAAGGGCCAAGGAGAGATTATCACAGCTATTGGGAGATACTAAACTGGGAGGAGAATTTAGCCCAGACAGAACATTCATAAGGCAAGAAACATATAATCTTTGCACACAGCAATGACATTCATCAGTGACTAACATGCTGCTGCTTGAGAATAGAACTTGTTCTATGCTTATGGCATAAGGACACTCCATCGTCAATTGTCTGCTATTTCATATGATGTGTACTCACACTGAAGTTTAATTCAGTTAAACCTTCTCCACAAACTTTCTCATCAATTTGAAGGAAGAAAAAGGTAGAAATATGCACAAATTTGATAAAATTGACAAACTTATTAATTAGTTCTCTGGATTTTCCAATAACAGCATCTTTTTCCTCAGGAAAAATAGAAACAACAGCACACACATGCAAAAGAGTGAAAACAGAACACTATTTAAGAAGAATGTATTGTGTTTTAAAAGTACTTACAATAACTTATCTGTGTTATTGCTCTAACACAGAAATAGCAACCTCTGTTTTTGTTTGTTTTGATTTGTTCTTTTTCATTCTCTCTTTTTTTTCTGATAAACAGCAGAATTTATGGCTGGACCTGAATGCATGCCTAGATGGAGACTTGAGACAAAGCAAGGATGCCATAATGTGTCATTCAAGTGTGTGCTATATAAAAGTGGACCTTACGTGAACCCTGCAGAACACATAAGTGAACGTGAAAATTTTTGTTGAACGTAGAGCTGTATATGGCACAGATACAGTTTAGAATAAAAACTAGAGCAGTTTAAACAGAAAACATACTTCTGCTTGAATTATTATTGTAGAACTAGTTTTACATTCATTACGAGAGAGAAGATAGTCATCACACTATCATCTCTAAGCCTGTGAGCAACTGTATATACAACTGTTTACGAGGGTGGATAGTGATAGGACAAGGGGGAATGGTCTTAAACTGAGACAGGGGAGGTTTAGGTTAGATATTAGGAGGAAGTTTTTCACACAGAGGGTGGTGATGCACTGGAACAGGTTGCCCAAGGAGGCTGTGGATGCCCCATCCCTGGAGGCATTCAAGGCCAGGCTGGATGTGGCTCTGGGCAGCCTGCTCTGGTGGTTGGTGACCCTGCACATAGCAGGGAGATTGAAACTGGATGATCATTGTGGTCCTTTTCAACCCAGACCATCCTATGAAACCTTAGTTTACAGCTTTACTGTTCAAGTGCATGGACTGATTTACTTTTAGGAGTAAACAACTGTTTGTCTTCCACTTTTGGTACCTGCTGCTTGTTCTAAAGCAGACTGTACAGATTTTGAAATCTATATCCTCCTCTGTAGTTCTGTTCACTCAGCCAACTGTGGTTTGCATACTGTACAGACTTTTGTTCCACAAGTTTCAGTCTTCTCAATGTTAGAGTTTAGCAAAATACATTACATAGATTATCATTACATGAGAGGATGTTCTTTCCCATACTTCGATGGAAGACTGGGCTATTCTACATTAAAAAAACCCAAAAACATTCTGCTCATTGTACTCTCCCAAAATTTGTTAGGTCTTTTTTTTTTTTTCATAACGTAATACTGAGGTAGTATTTACCATCCCCATTCCGTATGGAAGTCAGTAGGACTTCTGATGAGCTCTGACTTAAAATCACATTCCTTGTTGTTTTAAAAAGCATGTGCAGGAAAACAAGCAAACAAACCAAACGAAGGTTCTCCTTCTATTATATTTTTATATCTTTCTTCTTCTGTCTGAAGAAAAAAAAAAACAAAAACCGAAACAATAAAAAATTTAGAACAAAACCTGAATGCGATGTAAGTAACTTTTGAGTTCTCATCCTTTCACTGTGTTACCAAAGCAATTTGACATTGCTCAGTTAAAAATTGCACCTTGTCCTGTCACGTATTTAGATTATAACAGTGACTCAGATGTCAGAAACGTTCTCTGGTAGTTGATCAGTCAATGTCAGTGAATAAGGAAAAAGCCCTAAGTTGACATCACTGGGCTCTCATCCTGATTTCAGCCACTCAGATACCTGCTGGGAAAACAACGTGGTGAGCTGCAAGCGGTCCATGAGACTCCAGGAACCTATAGATGCTAACTTTGTGGTTCAGGACAGATTGATTGGAGGTAGAGTGTTGCTGGTGCTCACCAATGAAGGAGGTCATTATAGACATTTAGATTAGGCAGCCTGTGCTGCAGCAACCATGCCCTGGGTGAGTTTGTGATCTAGAGGAATGTGGGCCTGGCAAAGAGTGGAATTAGGACCCTGAACTTCAGGAAAGGCTGTTTAAGGAATTGTTGGACAAGATCTTAGAAGCTGTCCTTAGAGACAAAGGAGTGGAACAAAGCTGGCTACTCTTCAAGGATGCCTTTCTGAGAAAGCAAGAGCTCTCCATCCCTCAGAATAAGAAAGCATGCAGAGGAGGCAGGAAATAGGCATGGCTTGGAAAGGATCTGCTGGTCAAACTGAGGGAAAAGGGCATGCACAGGCAGTGGAAACAAGGACCTGGGAAGAATACAGGGATTCTGTCCAGACATGCAGAGATGGGACTAGGAAATCCAAGGCACGGATGGAACTGAACTTGGTGAGGGATGTTAAAAACCACAAGAAGTGGTTCTATAGGTACACTGATAAGAAGAGATAAGGCAAAGAGAGCATACCTCCTTTGAAAAGCGAGAAAGAAGAACTGTCTACAACAGACATGGAGAATGGTGAGATACTCAGTGAATTCTTTGCCTCTGTCTTCACTGGCAGCCAGGATTCTCCTATTTCGCACAGCCTGAACTCTTGGTGGGAATGGAGGGAGCAAACCTGCCCCCACTATAAGGACAGAGCAGGTCCAAGATCACCTCATGAGACTGAATGTCTATGGTGCACCCCAGGGTCCTAAGAGATGTGGCTGATGTGGCTGCCAAGCCATTCTATCACATCTGAGACATGGCTGTCAGGCAAAGACCCCAATGATTGGAAAAAGGAAATCAACACTCACATTTGTAAGAAAGGGATAAACGAAGACCTGGGGAACTACAGGCCAGCGAGCTTCCCCTCTATGCCTGGGATGACTATGGTACAGATCCTCCTGGATGACATGTTCAGACACATGAGGGTCAAGCAGATGGTCTGAAACAGCCAGCACAGCTTAACCAGGGGAAGGTTGTGCCTGATCAATCTAGTGGCCTTCTATGATGGAGTAATAGCACCGGTGGGCAAAGAGAAGGAAACTGATTTTATCTGCTTGGATTTCTGCGAGGCCTTTTACATGGTCCCCCACCACATCCTGATGTCTAAGTTGGAAAGATGTGGATTTGAAAGGTGGACCATTTGCTGGATACAAAATTGGTTGGAAACTTGCAGCCAGAGGGTTATAGTCAATGGCTCATGTCCAAGTAGAGGCTGGTGACAAGCAGCGTCCCCAGGGGTCTGTCTTGGGATTGATACTCTTTAACAACTTCATCAATGACTTAAATGATGGGACCAAGAGCACCCTCAGTGATATTGTTGATGACATCAAGCTGAGCAGTTGATATAGCAGAAAGAAGGAATGCCACCTGGAGGGGCTTTGACAAACTTGAAAGTTGGGCCCATGTGAACCTAATTAAGCTCAACAAAGCAAAGTGCAAGGTTTTATATTTTGGTCAGGACAATCCCAGATATGTATGGGAGAGCTCCTCGAGAGCAGCCCTGCTGAGAAGGACTTAGGGACACTGATAGATGAAAAACTTAATGTGAGCCAGCACTGTATGCTAGCAGCCCAGGAGGCCAATGCTATCCTGGGCTGCATAAGAAGATAGGATGTCACAGGACAAGGGAGGTGACCGTCCTTCTCTACTCTGCCCTTGTGAGGCCCAATCTGGAGCACTGTGTCCAGATGAGGGGACAACAACATAGGAAGGATGCTGAGCTTTTGGAGAGGGTCCAGAGAAGGGCCATGAAGAAGATCAGAGGGCTGGAACACCTCTGCTATGAAGATAGGCTGAATGAACAGGGCTCATTCAGTCTGGAGAAGAGAGACTGCAGGAAGGCATCATTACAGCCTTCCAATATTTAAAGGGAAATCAACTTTTTACATTGGCAGATAGTGATAGGACAAGGGGGGAATGGTTTTAAACTAAAGGAGGGAAGAATTATATTAGATGTTGAGGAAAGTTTTTGACCAAGAATGTGGTGAAGTTCTGGAACAGGCTGTCCAGAAAGGTTGTAGATGCCTCACCCCTGGAGGTGTTCAAGGCCAGGTTGAATGGGGCCCTGGGCAATGTGATCTTCTACTTGATCTACAGGTTGGCAATCCTGCCTGTGGCAGGGGGGTTAGAACTTGATGATCCTCGAGGTCCCTTCCAACACAAGCCATTCTCTGATTCTCTGGTCAGAATTAGCAAATGGGAGAAGGTGCAATTCTGCGTATTTTTATAGAATCCTTCCCACCAAGCATATTAGCTTTTTGCTCACATAGCTCACATGTCAGGAAGGCTTTTGTAACACATCTTTCTAATTCTTAACACCTTGTGTGATATAAACATCAGTATAATTAAAATAAGGTCATAAAACTCATCCACTTTACCTCACTATCTCAATTGAAACCAAAGTCAATCAATTCATCATTATTTACTGCCTACACAAATCTATGTGTCATATGCAAAATAAGATCCACAAATCCCAAATTCTAAGACACGAAGAAGATAGCTCTGCTGCACATGTTTAATGCATAAGCTTGGTCCTTTGTTAAGTGTATTACAAGTAGCTTTCACAAACCACCGTTAATACAGAGCCCTACTCTGCCACTATGCAAGTTTCACTGAAGTCAGCAGGATTTTTTATGTGATGGTAAAATTAAACTGATACCACAGGTTAGACTGTATTTCTGTTTTCCAGCTCAATAAAATTTTCATTTGAAAGTGGTACAACAATACAAGCAGTCATTAACTGTCATGATACATTTCAAATGACAGTATCAGTAAAACAGACTTACAACTTCTCAAGTCAGTGTCTCAGCAGAGGAAGATGCATCCCTAAGCGAGATTCCAATTTAATGCATAACTCACTATCCTCATTATTAGTCTCTATTTAAATTCATATTGATCCTTAATAAAAAATTCGAGGATGTTTTTTTCCTTTTATCAAGGAAAAACAAACCAAACAAAACACTGTAAAGAGAGGTAAAAGTGTCCAGAAGACCCATAACAGCTATCCTTCCCCATTTAGTTCACTATCCTATTTCCTATAAAGCTTGTCTAGAGGTTGAATGACAGAAAAAGGACAAGTAGTTCAGCCACCGGTAATTTCAATGGTGGGATTATATAACTACTTTACAATTTTTCTTTCCTCCCCCCTCATAAAGCAAACAGCATTTGAGAGCCCCATTCAAAATACACCAGAAGTGGTGCTGATTTCCTCACTGACTAAAAATAGGAACTATTTGAAAATGTGTATACAGTTTTATAGCTGACAAACACAAGCTATGGAGGAACAGAATCTCTAATTACTACTGCATAATGATGGCTCTATTATGGATGAAATATTACTGTGTGTATTTTTTAATATGGAAATTGAAACAGGAATCAACCAGATGCATCAGTTATACGAGCCCTGGCACACAGAGGAAATAGGATAGCATCAACTTTCCTTTTTTATGCTGTTCTTTACCCAGTGACCTACAACTGAACTTACTACAGAGTGAATGGCACGCAGCAAGTCTGGCTTACCCTGTGTCATTCTGTATTTGTTCACACATCACCAACAAAGGAAGATAAAGGATCTAAAACAGTGACACCAGAGGAGGGAGAGACAACCAGAAAGAGACAGCATAACAGATGAGGGGACTATGTAGAGGGACAAGGAGAAAATCTTCATCGCTCTTCCCTCCAAAGTCTGGTGCAGCATCTGACGTTCTGATTTTCATCTTTCCTCTTCACTACCTCTTGGCCTGCTCTGCCCACCTCACTCAGGTGAGCTCGAGCTGCTGTGGTTGTTACTGCAATGCCTGTTTTGTCCCCCCACTCAGCTCCTCCTCCCTTAGGAAGCAGCTGGCTCTCACTGAGGTCTGACATTTAGCTCAGATGGGAGTGAATCCCAAAGGGTGAGCTGAAGTGAGGAACATGGGCCTATGGGTAGGACATGGCTGGAGGCCCTGGGGAGGCTAATCAGGGCCACGTTAGTGCACCTGGGGCTCTAAACCATAACTTGCAAAAATTCTGAAACCAAATCTCTCCATAAGTTAAACAAGGAAGCTAGTATCACAAGGACACATTTACGCTTATGGGAATCTGGATGCCTGTGGCATATTTACCCTGAAAGACGCTATGTCTAACCAGACTAGGCTTCAATTTGTCACAACAGAAGCCTGACTTCCATTTCAATCCTGAAATAAAAAGCCTTGCAGAAATATTTAAAGCAGACTGAAGAAATAAATCTCACGTCTTGGATGAAATCGATCATAAGGAACAACAAGGTATTCACAAGGGAAAATCTCTATTTGTCCATCTGAGATTCTGAGATGCAGGCAGACATCATGAATCTAAAGTAATTCAGTTTGCATTCTTCATTTAATTTAAAATAAAAATCCTGGGTTTTAAAGCCACCAGAATCACACAATTTTACCTGCTCTTTTCTTCCTATTTCAATCTTGTTCTCCATAACTAGACTTCTGTATTGGAAAAAAGCCGGATAAATTCAATTTTCTGGTACAAATATCTTAAATGGAAAGATGATTACATTGATATTGTCCTAAAAAAATGAACTTGTAATCAAAACAAACACATGCAATCCAAAAAGGAACAAAAAACCCTCAGTGAGGATTTGCTGTTGATTATCATATTTTTATAGTGTAACTGTTTCTCTGACATTAAAAAAAGGAAAAAGTTTTCTTTAATGTATAGGATTCTATGTTATCATTATTATACTTGAACATATAGAAACTTATTTCCTTCTCCCTAGGAGCAGAAGAGGATTATCCAGAACGGTAGAAGTGACAAGTTAATACAAACTACAAATTACTCATCTAATAAAGAAGATATCTACATTAACATATAGCAGTACATTTATATGTGCCACATGTATAAATCATTTAAAAATTATTTTTATCTATTTTTTTCCCTGTGCTGTCCTCCATTCTCCACACATACTCATATAATCCTTGACACATTTGTAAAGGCAAAATCATTCCATTATTTCGTTGATAAAAATCTACTATTTAAAGAAACATTGTGACAATCCATATATGAAACAATACTGACCCCTAGTGCTTACCTGTTTTATTCGTTGGATTTTTTTCTTCTCAAACAAAAAGTAACTTTTCTTTAGGATGGGTTCTGCATATTTCATGCATTTTTATTCATAATGGTATATCATCCATCCCTACTAAATAAATGCTGTCACTAGAGGTTAATCAGACATGTTTCTCAAGCCCAAATGCAGATAGACATCAGCGACCCTAAGCTCCTACTGTCCACAGTTCAATACTGTGGTTCACATTTTTAAATGCTTTCTGTTTAAAATTAATAAGCACTGAGAACGTTTCCTCTCAACTGATCATCCACTATTTCGCTGCTTGTAAACTATCATCTCCTGCCTGATAGCATGTGCTGTGAACAGCAAGTCTGGAGTTTCAGCTTAGTTAACTCTCCACTTCTTAACAAGACACAAAATTTATTCTCCTGTTAAATAACTTCTATGAAAATATTATGTTTCATAACAAATAGCTTGACAATTTAGTGGAGAAAAAGTCTTTTACTCACATCAGTAAAAGATGCAATCTGGAGAGCAGAAATATTCTTTGCAACAAGGCAGGTAAGACCTTTTTTGCCCCATTACAGCTGAAACAAATTAGAAAGATGTTTCAGTAAGAAATGTAGAATCATTTAGGTTGGAAAAAAACACTAAGATCACCTAGTCCAACCATCAGTCCATCCTCACCATGCCCACCTTGGCCCCCTCAGTGCCACGTCTCCACATTCCTTGAAGGAATCTGAGGACACTGACTTCCCACTCCCCTGGGCAGCCTGTTCCAATGCCTCACTGCTCTTTTTGAGAAGCAAATTTTCCTACTATCCAACCAGAACCTTCCTTGGCACAGGTAAGGCCATTACTTCTCACCCAATTACCTAGGAGAAGAGGCAGATGCCCACCTCACCATAAGGTCTTTGCAGAGAGTTGTAGGAAGCAATGAGGTCTCCTAAGAGTCCTCCAGACTAAAGGAGAAACTGAGTAAGACACAGAATCTATTCTCATGTTTAATTAAAGGATTTCTTTGAAAAAACGATGCTTACAACAAATGCTTAAAAATTTGGGGGGAAACTCACACCAGTAAAAGATGCAATCTAGGAGGCAGTTGTACCCTTTCCACTGAGGCAGTTACAGCCCTTTTATGCCCCCTCAGAGCTGACAGAAGACAGAACGGTGTTTCAGTGGCCTGCAAATTCTTTTAAGCTTTGACAGTCCACCCAGACAACTACACAGACACCAGCTGTACCAAGTGAACTTGATTCCCCTTGTTACTCTTTACAAAAGGTGAAAATAAACTTTAAATATGGTAAAAAAAACACGTTGCTCCAGATAGATTAGCGTTTTTAGTTTGTCTCACTTAATGATCACTCCCCAAAGGATTTTCATTACGTCTGGACACAAGCCGGCCTGCCTTGCTTTGCCATCCCGCTTGCTCGGCCTGAGGCTCCCGCTGCAAAGCCGCCGCTCTGCCCGTCCTTCCGCATCGCAGCTAGGAGGGCTTTGGGGCAGCGGCTGTGGGCAGCATGAAAGCTCAGCGCTTACTTAGCTACATGTGCCATTAAGCACTCTTCTCGGCGCTTAGCGTGTATTCAGACTATTAAGACGTCCCGTATCGTTTTAACTCCAGCTCACTACTGACTATACAGAAAAATCCTCCAGCTCCGCTCTCCTCACAGAAAGATGGCGACATCCCCAATCGCTCACCGCGCCACTCCGCCCGCCATTTCCCGGCCTGGCAGCCGCGCGCAGTCGCGAGCGTGCGCGCACTCCCACGTTTCTCGCGAGACTTGGGGGCGGCACTCGCGCCGTTTTTGAAGCTGGCGGCCGTTGCAGGGGGCCTGGCTGCGCTCCGCCTGTGCTGTGCTGCGCCGTGCTCCGCGCGGGAAGGGTGAGCGTCCTGTTCGCAGCCATGTGTCCGGCGAAGAAACCGTTGCAGATACAAGAGGCGTTCCAGCTGGCCCAGAAACCCCACCAGAACCCCGCGAAGCTCGTTGTGGCTTTGAAGAGCGCCTACAGCCAGGTACCGGCCTGAGCGTCTGAGGGGAAAACTGTGGGACTGCTTCTGAAAGGTTATAAACTACTTTGGTTTGGTGCTTCTTTCAGTTACAAGATAAGGAAGACTTCCATGAGAAGTTCGTTCATTTCCTGAAGTATGTTATGATCGTCTACAAGCGGGAGCCAGCCGTGGAGCAACTGGTCGATTTTGTGGCTAAGTTTGTGACTTCGTTTTATCAAACGGAGGAAGAGGAGGGTAGTGAGGAAGGAGAAGAAGACAATTCGCTTCTGAATTATGTGTTTAACTTTCTGCTTGAGGTACAGTAATACTTGCTGTTAAATCTTTAACTGTAAAGTGGAAGCTTTACTTAGTGGTACAGGCTGCCCAGAGAAGCTGTGTACACCTTGTCCTTTGAGGTACTAAGGCCGGGTTGGATGGCCTTAGGCAGCCTGAGCTGGTGGGTGGCAGCCCTGCCCGCGGCCGGGGCTTGGAATAGGCTTTAAGGTCCCTTCCAACTCAAACCGTTCTGTGATTCTGTTTATACACAGTAGGGAAAACTTTCTTGCATTATCTACAATCTGGAAGCTTAAAAGTGAAAGCAAGGCAAAGCTTTATGATTTGAAAAACTAAAACCAAAACAATGCGTACAAAAAGCACACAGAAATGAGCAGGTAGTCATTGGTGGGCTGTGTTGGTGTTAGATGGATGGTTGGAGTAGATGATCACAGAGGGCTTTTCCAACCTTAATGATTTTATGATTCTTATGATTATGACAACCACAAAAACCCAAAGCAAAACAGATTTTAGAAGTTAGGTCTGTGAGGAAAATATAAATTGTTTTCTTATTTGGCTATCAAGCATGTCATTAAGTGTTTCACTGTGGGTGCGTTTGCATACATGACATTAGTTTATACTGCTTCATTGACAAGTAAAAATAATAAAATGCTTTTCACACATATGATTGGCATTTGTGTTATTAATTCCTGCTTGTTCCAGGAGTTTATGTATAAAAAGAAGACTGTCAATTCTGATAGTGTGAGACCACAAGTAAAATTAAATTCTTTTAAATTAATATTTTGTCATGAAAAGTTATCAGTAATGCCAAGAGCACTAGCTAGTCATTATCCCTATTTTCTTTCTCTTTTAATGTTTTATGGGGACAGGAGGAAGCTAGCTCATGTCTTCTGATTAGTGGTATAGTTTTCTTCCTTTCTGAGGGCATTGCTAATTGTGTACAGTGTGCTGCTGATACAAATGATGAGCTATAAATATTTTTCAATTCTGTGAGGTTTTTAGTCTTACTAAAGAATAGGAAGAGCTTCTGAGATATGAAAGTGTGTATTTTATCTTCTGTATGGAGTGCTAACTACTTACATATGCATATTGATGATCTTACAATGAAAATAAGAAAGAATACTTTTTTTTTCTCTCCCTTCCCACCCCGCTCCACTTCCCTGCAGTCTCATGATGCAAACAGCCATGCAGTTAGGTTTCGAACATGCCAGCTTGTTAATAAGATTTTGAGAAACATGCCAGAGAATGCTCAGATTGATGACGAATTATTCGATAAAATTAATGAAGCTATGCTGATTAGACTTAAAGATAAGTTTTCAAATGTGAGAATTCAAGCTGTCTTGGCCCTGTCAAGGCTTCAAGATCCTAAGGATGAAAACTGTCCTGTTGTTAATAGTAAGTAGCTCTTATTTTCTTTTTGTAAAAGGTTTGTTGACTTATGTTAGTTTGCTTTGAAACATTTTTTGAAGCTTCGAGTAACGCTTTCTTAGAGGGTGTTCTTCATGCAATTGTTAGAGCAGTGGTGGGGCTCGTAGTCAATGGAGCTTGTATAGGTAGGGCTGGTGTACGTTCAGGGGGAAAGAACAGAACAGAACTTGTTGAATGAGAGATCCACTGGGAATTAAATGATTGATCACCCTGTTCTGTGAACTCAGTGCAGTTGTGGGATGGTGAGAAAGATAGTGTTGTTGCAAACTGAGATGGAAGAAGGATACATGCTTGCTCTGTTCAGACCCTCCTAGGCTGCTTTTGTACAACTGAGTTGAATCTGTGCAAAAATGTTCAGAGGAGTAGAAATGGCAATACAAAGGCTGATTTTTGTCCAAAATGACATCTGCCTTCTGTATCAGCGATGCACCTGGTTACTGGCACTGTTGACCTCTATGTGTTTTGAGCCATTTTTTTTTTTTTTTTTTTTTTTCCTCTCCTGTGCAAATCTCACCTTGCTCATAAATCATAGCATCATAGGATGACCTGGGTTGAAAAGGACCACAATGACCATCTATCTGCAGGGTCACCAACCACTAGACCAGGCTGCCCAGGCCACATCCAGCCTGGCCTTGCCCAGGCCACATCCAGCCTGGCCTTGCCCAGGCCACATCCAGCCTGGCCTTGCCCAGGCCACATCCAGCCTGGCCTTGCCCAGGCCACATCCAGCCTGGCCTTGCCCAGGCCACATCCAGCCTGGCCTTGAATGCCTCCAGGGATGTGGCAATCAGTTCCATATAAGAAATTAGTACTGCTGAAACCCAGTTTTCCTTATGCTGTTTTGTACCAACTTGTGAACTTCATTTTGGATGGTATGCTTTTTTTATTAGACCTTACTTCTCTTGCTTCAAAAGACAATGGTAGATGGACTATACGTTTGTAAAATTATAGTGTATTATTAGCTTAGTTTTTTTCTTGTTAAGATGCCTTTTTTGAAGTTGTTATCTGAAAGTTTGTTTATATGTTTCTTGTTTAGGAACAAAAATTTCATAACGAGTTGCAGATCAAAAAGGAAAAGACAAGTATTCTCTGATCAAATCTTATGTTGTCACTTTTAACTTTGAAAAAGAGGCAAGGAAAATAACAATTACATGAGGATAATAATGTATTTTGGTAGGCTTAATGCAGTTGTCAATCTTCAGTTGTTAGGAAAAACTGAGGATTCTCCTCAAAGGTGGTAAGGATGTATTTCCAGTGAATAGAGGTCCAACATTTGGATACTTTTTTGTCCAGTTAATGACAAAGTGGTTATTTTATAGGGAGGATCTAGAGTAGCAGTTTAATTAACTGAAGATCCTAATAATAACAAATAACTATTCTTGCATTTGACTTCAGTTCTATGTACAGTTGCCTTAAAATCTTGGGGCTGTCACCCTAACCTGATCCCTGTGTTTATATTAGCATTGTGCAAAAGGGGAGAGGTTTCAATAATGCCTGCTCACCTTCTTGAGTATCGTCCTTTTTTCAGTAATGTGAATGCCTTACACCCTTACAAAAGCTGACTATTTTGCTTTCAGTTTACAACGTGTTGCTTGAAAATGATTCAAATTCAGAAGTGAGGCGTGCTGTGCTGTCATGTATTGCTCCATCAGCAAGGACTTTGCCAAAAATTGTAGGGCGTACAATGGATGTGAAGGAAGCTGTCAGGAAGCTAGCATATGAGGTAAAGTGCACCATTTATAATTAATTTCCAACAGTGGCTTAAGAAAAGGCTTTAAATCTTCTATCATATTTCATTGGTTAAACTGTAAGATTTCTCACTTACCAGAACTTTGGTGGGGTGTTTTCAAGTACGCAAGAACTTGCCTGATAGAAATCGCATTTCTAATATAATTCAGTTCTTCAAGGTTGTTTATACAGTCCATAATCTTCTATGCCCATTTGTGAGGTTAGTGAAACAATTTTTCTTCTGTTTTATACTACAAATAATTAACTAATATTAGGATCACAGCCATACTAGTGTCAAATTATGCATAGTTTTCACGTTCCCTCTTTGTGAAGTATCAACTGCTGTTTATTTTTACATGTAGAGGTAAAAGGAAAGAAGGTTGCTACCATAGACATTTCTTGTTCAAGTGCCTTAAAAATCACAGAACAGGATCTTCAAGCAAAATGTAACACAGCCACACACAACCATATTCTCTTCTTGCTTAACTTAGATTAAGTTTTATTTTTCTTCCATGAACAGGAATCAGCTTACTAGTTGATAGAATGCTGATGATACAGATATTATAGGCTTTTACTGACTTAAAGTTTCTGTGGATTGGATAAAACTGAGAGCTTGGATTCACAGATAGCTCACGAGTTCACTAAAATGTGTAGAAATGTTTTTTAATATCTTCTTTTTTCTGAAGGTTTTGGCAGAAAAAGTTCACCTGAGAGCTCTATCAATAGCACAGAGAGTAAAACTGCTGCAACAAGGACTTAATGACAGATCTGGTAAGTGATCATTTTAAAAATATCTTAATACCAGTATTTGAGAGAATATCTTCTAACGCAGTGGAGATTACTGATGTGGAAGCCGTGATGGCAGTAATAAGGAGCTCAAAGGGAAATGCTGAGAAATGCTTAAGCACAAGAAATCCTGCTTACTGCTTCTGTTCTTCCAGTCATCTGCTAGTGGATAAACCAGAAGAGAATTGCATTTTCAAAAAACAGGAAAGCCATTGAGCTCTAAAATAAGAATGAATTATTAAAATTAAAATTAAAGCTAGGAAAAAAATAACAAAAAAAATCCTCAAAAATAATGTTATCAAACACAGAAGTAGGAGAAATGTAGTTATTTAATTACAGGTATTTTTGAAAAAAAAGATGCTTCATTCCAAATATCTTTGACTGTTGCATTTATCAAAGAATTTAGTATCAGGCTGAAAATTGTTTTAAAATGTTTCCCATGTAAGTCCTGAGAGAAATTTTTGTTTGTTTGTCATTTAACTGGCATGAATATTACTTAATGCATTTTTGATCGACTCATTCATTTCACTGTGAAGTGGCTTTATTGTTTTTGAAATCTTCTGTGCTGTCTCATTTTCATGAAGAGCTGCTCAGAACGTGCCAGTATTTCTGTGCGCTCTGTCATCAAACCATCACAAGGCCACGTGCATCTGAGAGAGGTTTGCCTACACAGAAAGTGACTTTTCTTTCCAGCAATAGCATGGCATGGAATTCCATCATAAAAACTGCCAGTTTAAGTGTGGCAGTGTGATTCGCACACTTTGGGAAGCCTGTGTGAAGCCTTGTTAGGTGTTACTCTGTTTTCTGTAGTGATGTACTGCCTGTGAGTTGTGTGAATTGTGACCGATGTGGCTGTGTGCCTTCAGAGAGCAAAAGAAGTACGTTGCTAACTGCCAACAGAAGCTCTTCAAAGTGCATCATATATGAATGTGATCTGAGCTGGGGACCATATGAGCTGTCGAAGCAGAAGTTAGAATCAGCTGAGCTCTCTTGTGCTGTATTGAACTGTGCTTACAGAGAAGTCATTTTTCTGCATGATAAGTTTTAGTTAGTGTTTTTCCCACCTACTCTCAGTTACTGTATAGTAACTTAGTGAGATTTCTCAAGTTCTGTTTCTGAATTCTAGCACTGGAAAAGAATACATTCTGGACTGCTATTTTTTTTCTTATCTGTATATTAGTGTGTGCAGTTTGACATAATCAGGCAATTCTTCTTCACTTTTCCTCCCTACTAAAAAAGAATAGTACTTAATCTCAACTGATAGCTCTCTTGTCTTTGCATGAATGCGTTTCTTTTTTAGTAAGCTTTGCAAACCAGAGGAGAAAGCTACCTTCACTAGCTTTTTTTTTTTTTTCTTTTTTCCTGTGGTCCTTCATCTGTCAGGAACAAGGATTAGCTTCATTTCCTTACTGAGAAGGTACCGACTTTCTATGTGGTTTATGTTTTGGTGACCTTGAAGTGTTTGGCAGAGAGCTGCCTTCTTCATTTATGCAGGGAAGATATTTCCTCAGCTGGTGTCTCTTCCTTAGGATGATTCTTCATCCCAACTACTGAGAACTTGTTCTGTGTTTTGGTGGTTTTTTTTTTGTTGTTGTTTTTTTTTTTTAACCCTTGTGTATCTGCCAAGGTAGGCAGCTTCACTGATGCTGTATGCTCTTCACTAGGCAAAAGAGCTTTATGTTCCATGAAGTCTGTATTTATATATACACCCACTAGTTTCCTCTCATTTTGATCTTTTTGCAAACTGTAACCTTGAATATGGGTATCTTTTATTGAATTTGCTCATGTGAACATACTCCCAAGCTAACAAAGAACAACTTGTCCATTAAAGGTTGCTAGGCTGGAATGTCTTTCTTACTGGCTTCAGAGGCAGGGTTTATAATTAAACCAGATCTAGAAGGCATAATCCAGATTTTGCCTAATTCTACTTTGCAGGGTGCAAAACCAATTCAGCTGTCAGTTCTCCACTTGCTTTCTTTCACACTGCTACATTCTGATGGTTATGCCTTTCACTTCTTGGAGATGCTTCTCATTCTTAGAACCTAAATTTAGTGGGTTGTGGTTTTTTTTGTTGTTTATTGTTTTTTGTTTAACAGATCTTCAGCATCTTTTAGAATTCAGGGAGTGCTGTCTTCTATTATCGTGGGTTATATAGAGTAGGAAGGTGAATATTGTCACTGTTTCCCTTATATTGGCTATTGTTTTCTAGGCTTCCTAAGAGCATACTTCAGTCACTCTGTAGTTATCCTTTTTCCACCAGGCTGTTAACCTTTCTTCCTTGCTGAAATTGATAAAGCTTACTCTGCTGATCCTGAAGTTATTTGTTTGCCTCAATAGGGAGGAGGTACTGGAGGGATTTACTTTGGATTCTGAAACACACAGTTGGATAATTGAATTAACGCAAGAATTCTGTGTGGCAAATCGGAATAAAAGTCTGTGCATCTGTCTCCTGCCTCAGCAGTGGCTAATTTATAAATGCCTGAAAGAGGGCAACTGGATAGACATGCTTCCCTAGAATGTTCCATGGCTTTAATAAAAGAGGTCATGACTGATGTATTTTCTGGGGTGACGTGTTGGTTGTAGATGTAGCTGGTTTTGGTTAAAGAGCCTTTATTCCTTATAGGGGAAAAATGATGTTCCCTCATACAAGTGTTAGTTTTCCATACACAGTTCTTATTTAACTCTTGTGCCACTTCAAAAAAAAAAAAAAATAATAATAAAAAGAAAAAAAGGCCAAGTTCAACTGTATAATAACTTTATGGAACAGTGACTGGTGTGTTGAAAACATGTTTTTTTTTATGTGCTCTGACATTATCAACTGTTTCAATTTCTGTATTATTAGATGCTGTTAAGGAAGTAATGAAGAAGAAATTGCTTCAAGCTTGGTTACAATTTACCGAAGGCAATGTTTTAGAATTGCTTCATCGACTGGATGTAGAGAACTGCCCAGAAGTGGCCGTCCCAGTACTGAATGCTGTGTTTTCATTGTCCTCACTTAACGACTGCATTCAGAACTGCAAATACCTTGACAACAGGTATGGAGATCAGCTCTCTTGTCTGTTGCTTATGAGAAGGCTGTGATATTTTCGTGTAAGCTGTGATGTATCCCTGGTGTTTGTATCCTGAAGTGTTTTGGTTACATTTTGTTTGTTTGTATTTCTAATGTGTTTGGTAACCGAAAATGATTGTGAAAATCACAGGGGAGAGTAAACTCATCAATAAAGCAAGCTCTGCTATGAGTAATAGGACTTAATTTCTTTCATTTCCCTGTGCTGTCTCCAGTGCTTTAGTTTACACCTGCAAAACTGTAATCTCTTATTTTAATCTGTGATAACTGATTAAAAGAATCAATATCACAGATTCTGTGTCACCTTTTCAGATTCTGGATATTGCCTTTTGTCTCTTCTTCCCCCTCATTATTGACTTTTTTTTTTTTTTTTCTTTCTGTTTTTTCTCTTTGCCTTGGCTTCCCTCAATCCTTTTTGCTGGCTTAGGGCAGCACAATTTGAGTTTCAGTTATTCATGTACTGTTTAGGCAGTCTGTTGGCTTGTTTTTCAGCCTTTGTTTCAGTCTGTTTTAGTTGTTAAAGGAAGCTTGATGGAGCTTAGAGGCTTCTTTTCCTGCATTAATTTTTGGTAGAATTTGTTTAGGTGAGTTCTAATCCACGGTGAAGAGAATGTGATATAAATATATTACATTTCAACAATAAAATGAAAGGAGGAAGGGAAAAAATAGAAACTATAGGAAATTACTAAGGGAGGTAAGAAATGTTTTGATTTAATCAAAGAAACCGGAGTGGAATGATTATCTAAGTCTCATGTGATAAACTTAAATGACAAGTAGTCACTGATTACAAAATGCAAACAAGGTTATTCTGTATTTTGGAGGGAAAAAAAATGTAATTCCGTCTTACAAAATGTTTTGCCTTCTAGTAGTAGCTTGTGACCTATGTTTTGAAACCAGCAGATGATATATTGTACTTCAAAGCTACAGGTGCAGGCCTGTTTGGATTTTAAAAGCACGATAAGGGGGAAATAACATTCTTACAGCTTTTGGAAATGTGCCAGTTTCTAAAGTTCAAAGGAAAAATCCTTCTAGACTTGTCGATCAGACTTTGATCCTGCACAAAACAAAGGCTCCTTTCTAAAAGATTGGGTTAACTGAGAATTGTAAGTAATGTTTTGAAGAAGTGGATCTGTTGGGCTAATGGTACCTTGGGAAGCAAGTGAAATGATTCAACTTGCAATGAGGTTATTTGATTTATGCAAAGCACTTAGCTTTTCTTTCATGACACTTCTGATTACACCTTGTGGTTTCATTTAAGTGTTATTAGGGTTTGAATGTGCTTTAGTTTTGTTTGGGGGGAGCAAAAAGTTTTATAGAACATAATGTGAAATGCTGCAGTCAAGAACAGAACAAATAGTTTATGAACAGAAGCTGAAAAATAATGCAACTATATTTCTACAGATTAGTGGAGTTCAATCTTCCCCAGTTGTAGTCATGGCAATGTTTCATAGAGTGCAAGTTTAGCATGCTGTTTAGCATGCTGTGATTACTTTTGAAGATCTGAAAGGCACAGCAGATTCTCTTCTGCAAATATAAAGCTTTCATACAGAATACCCAACACAAACTGTCTTGGTGTAAAATACTGAAGAGCTCAGTGTAGTCAGAAGCTCTTGCAACTCCACGTCCTTGTTTACAAAGTTATTTTTGTCAGTCCGTAAGTACGGCTGTGGAGAATATCTTTGACAGGATTTTTCTTCTTAGGAAATAATGTATTTCTGTGCATTTGTATATTTTCTTCATTTCTGTTTATTTCTTGTTGTTAAGAAAATTGATTCCTTTGGAAAACTTAACAGCTGAGAATGTGTTGCACTGGAGATGTCTTTGTGAACATCTGAAGTCAAAAGGTGAAGAAGGTGAAGATTTGCTGGAACAGATGTTGCCAGAACCAGCCATATATGCAGATTACTTACTAAGGTACATTGCATTTAAAACACGTTTTTTGTCTTGCACCAAAGTAATTATTTTTGAAAAGGTAGGTCGTATTTCTGTGCTTCAGCTATTGAGATTTCTTTCAAAGCCAAAGATCTGGGTTTTTTTGTTTGTTTCTTTGTTGTTTGTTTTTTGTTTGTTTGTTTGTTTAGAATAAATAACTCTTTTCAATCTTTTTTAAAGCAAAAAAGCCTAAAAGGTAATGGAATATTTCAAAATGTTGTTTTCACGTTACTCATTATGAGCAAGATGGACTTGAAGATGAACTGTATATAATTCTGTGTCATTAAAACTACTAGAATGATTGTTCTGTAACATGCAGCTCTTTTGGCTGTTAGTACCCTGGTTGCTGTTTGGTAAAGAGCCTGCAGAAACTGGCACATTTTTCATTGTGGTAACTTGTGAAAATAAAGTAAAATTTGGCTGCTGTTCCTGTCTTTCTCCCTGGTACGAGGGCATGCTTCACAAAAACTTATGTTCTCAGCTAGTGGTAGAACTGCCATGGAAGGCAGTTACAGGCTGGTTTAATGAAGGAGAAACAATGAATGTTTTGTTAAGTCAATCTTCTACCTAAGTGAAGAAAAAGACTTTTTTTTTTCTTGGTGAGATACTCAGAGAGAAAAGCTTTCAGTCTTCACATTAATGAATATTCTGTCCAAATTCTGTGAGCGCAGAGAATGCTAGGAAACCTTAATTGATGTACTGCACTTGTAAGCTATGTAGTGAAGATTGCTAAAATACAGATAAATCAGATCTGCTGAAGAAAGTGTTTGTAGAGATATTTCCAATTAAACGTATGCATATTCTTTGTTTCTCTGCAGTAGAGTAGCATACTTGTATCAGTCATAGAATGGCCTGGGCTGAAAAGGACCACAACAATCATCCAGTTTCAACCCCCTGCTATGTGCAGGGTCACCAACCACCAGAGCAGGCTGCCCAGAGCCACATCCAGCCTGGCCTTGAATGCCTCCAGGGATGGGGCATCCACAGCCTCCTTGGGCAACCTGTTCCAGTGCATCACCACCCTCTGAGTGAAAAATGCCATACAAATCATTGCTACTTTCCAGTGTTTGGTGTGCTGATGTGTTTCTTAAACAGAAGTAAAGAGTCATGAACACTTAATATAGAAATATGGGTCCGGTCTAGTGAGTGTAACTTTATGAATTCATAATTGGTTTGACAGTTCATACAATATTTCTTCTCAGAAAAAAAATTAAAAAGCTGTTCCACCCAATCTTATTCAGTAGGCCTTCAGTAATCCTCCCCTTAAGGAAAAGGCTGACTAAAATTAAGTAGGTGCTGATACTTGATTGCAGTATTGGCAGTAAAGCTGCTTGTTGGTGAGTATTCCCATCAGTTGGTTCAGTTAAGATTTGAGAGTCTAGTGAAATCTTTGATGTATGTGTGCTATGACAGCATCACTTAAGTTAGAAGCTGCAAGTCGCTGACCCTTAACAACAAATACAGGATTGTATGTTTTATTTAGGCATTTCTTTTTTTGCATTCTCAAACAAGGGATTAGTTTTTAATGGAGTGCAGTGTTCTCAAACTGTACATTATTGGTAGTATTTATCTATGAGCATTATTGGAAATATTCATCTATGAAAAGGAGAGCATTAAAAAATTAGGCCTTGTAGGCAAGGTAACTAGCTTATTTATACATGTCAGGGAAGTGTTTTTGTTTTGCTGTTGTTGCTTTGTTTTTTGTTTTTTTCATTGCAACCATGATTCTGAATGATGATCTGTTCTATTTGGATTCAGTTACATACAAAATATGCCAGTTCTTGGAGAAGAACAAAGAGAAGACTTCGCTTGTTTTGAAAACCTGATGACAAAAGAATTTATAGGCCAGCAACTGATTCTTATTATAGACTGCATGGACACCACTGAAGAGGGAGGAAGGTAAACTTGGGTAGAAAACCTGCTATTGAGTGGATGGCACTTATGCCAATCCACAGACATAAGGCCTCTGTTGGGAAAATGACCGGATCAAACATGACATGTGAGTCTCTGCTAAATGGCAAAAAACAAACAACCCAACACCATCTCTTTAATGGAATTGTGCCCAAGTGTGTGAAATGCTGCCTGCTTGCTTTTATGGAAAAAGTTTCATGCGTATACAAGACTGTTAATTTAGAACTCAATATACCAAAAATTCAGGAGATAAGTGGATGATTTCTTCACAGGTGACTTGTAGTGGGTAGCCTATGAGTATCTTGAATTTGCTAACTTGCTAAGGCCTAAAAAGGAGAGAGTTTAGATTTCAGACTGAATTAGAATGCATTAACTGAGTCGTTCAAACAAGCCTCCTATAGTTTGAGTAACATTTTCCTGTGAAGTAGTAAGAATAAATTTGGAAGCTTATCCCATCATGGGCATTTTCTGAAACAGGACAGTTATGCTAGTATTATCAGGTTGTCATTTTCATCCCATCAGAGCCTAATATGCAATGGCAGCCTGTCAAGATATTTTTTGCTGGAATGACTTTTAAGCAACAGTCAAAACTGATTAAAAATAAAAACAGTATTTTCTAATCAAGAGAAATGGGGTAAAATTAGGAGAAGATGAACTCTACTAAGGAACAAAATAGTTACAGAGAAGCTTATCCTGTGATGTATTCATCACATTAACTCAATTTAGGTAAAATAATTAAATGCCTAACAATGCAAATTGTGGTTTTTTTTTCCCCACCTTAATGCAGAAAGCATCTGTTAGTTCTCTTAAAAAAGATTCTTATTCTGCCTGCAACTTCAACAGCTCTTGTATCTCCACTTGTGGAAAGATTACTCAGGATCATTGAGGATGATGCCAGAAGGATTCAAGTTGTAAGTAATTCCAAAGACTTACTGTTTTTTGGGTTCTGCTTTCCCTGTATGACAAACAGTGTTTAGAAAGCATTGCAACAGAAATATCAGGAATTAAAATGTTTTTGGTTTGGAGAAGTATTTATGTTGTTCTGTGCTATGCACCTCTACCTTTTTTTTCCCCTCAACATGGCTGCATTTTGTGCATATTTGATGAAGAGCTCTGTTTTCAGAGCACATTGCTGATTTTGTAAAGGTAACCCTCAAAGTAGGAAATTACTGCTCTTCAACTGCCTGTTTCAAAATTGTTTGTCTTACTCGATCCAAACAGTTTTAAGTAGAACATTCAAATGAGAAAATGAGAATACTTTACATTTCCAGATTGCAGATTTTTTTCCCTCCTTTCTGCTGAGAAAAGACCTCAAATGTTAATAAGAAAAATATTCTTTTTATAGTAAAGTCCCTATGTAGTATCATAGAATGGGCTGAGCTGAAAAGGGCCACAATGATCATCTAGTTTCAACCCCCTACTATGTGCAGGGTTGCCAGCCATTAGATCAGGCTGCCCAGAGAATGAAGAATGTTCCTATATGAGGAATGATTATTTCAACTTGTCTAATGAAAAACAAACTCTTGGTTTTGCTGAAATAATTTAAGTAATTTCTCTACTTTATGGACAGAGCAGTTCTGGAAAGTCTCAGTCCAGTAGGTAAAGCTGGGCTGTTTGTTACATGATATTTTGGAATACCTGTAGTAACCCTGGCACTACAGTAGTGCAACACCAACAGAATGTGTGATTCAGTAATACACAAGTGAAATGCACTGATTCAGTATGTCCTCTGTTTGGGTAGAGGCTAAGAGGAAGCTGACTGTGGAAATCTGGTGCAAGATAAATCAAACTGAAACTATCCCCGTCTCAATGGTCTTTTAGTTTTCTTTTTTTTCATCTCATTTCTTATTAACATAACAGGCCTGTCCTTAATGAACTCCCTTAAACTGAAAAACCCTCAGAATAATTCTGCTTCCAGTTCCACACATGTATTTGGCTTGGAATTAAGTTACTTGTGTGGCTCACTGTATTACATATGTAGTTTATAGAGCTGGAAATGACAGCGTTGGTGTATTTTGACGGCAGCAGTACCAGGTGAAAAGCCTTACTGGTGTTACCAATCTGTCTTTCTAAAGCGTGTTCAAACCTAGAGAAGACAGTGCCTGTGAACTGCAAGAGAAACTGTTCAGCTCACCTGAGGATAAGCAGTTCTGTTTTCTTGCTTAACTAGCTGACTGCAGATAGGACTAGACTTTCATGATTAGGCTGCTCATTGTTAAGTCAGTCCTCCTTGAGGACTTAGTGCAGTGATGTATTGGTTAAGGAAAGCTGCACAGAAGTTTCAGAAGGATGGTATTTTAGATTTGGATAAGTTAAACTAATGCTTGGTATCTGATATCTAAGCCAAAAATCACTGGCTGAAATCACTAACATTTTGTTTGTAATAGATTGCAGAAATTGTCTCAGAGGTTCGTGAGCCAATTGTTTCTGTTGACCAGCCTGTTGATGCTGCTGAAATAAGAAAGCAACAGATTAAGGTAAGCTAGTTTTAGCTATCTGGAAAAAAATGATCCTTGTCCATCAAGTAAGAGTTTTGTATAGTTGTATATCAGTAACTGATCTCAGTAGTGCATTGTTGGCTAATACCATATAGGTTTTATAGTCCTGCGTAATGATAATAATTATTTTCTTTCTGCTTTACGTTTCAGTTGGCTGAAATAAAAGTGAAACTTTTTGAAGCAAAAGCAGCTTTGGAAGAGTGCATTACTCTGCAGGATTTTAATAAAGCATCAGTATTAAAAGAGAAAATAACTGAGTTGGAACACACAAAAAGTGATCTGATAAAAGCAGCAGAGCAATGTGAAATTAAAGAAATGCGTGTGGAGAAGGTTTCAGTTTTTTCCTTTTCTGTATTCACAAATGCTGACTGTTTTTAGTTTATTCAAAATGGATTACAGTAAACTGCTCTTTTGGTTCTTAAATAACTGCAGAATTCTAAAAGGAGCTTAGTTATGCTGTATTTACTCTTAACTGAAAACATGAAACTGAATCATTTTTCATTGTTTATAGATTAATTAAGTTGCTAACTTATCAAATCTGTAGTGGGTAAGAAATGTTTACTTGGGTATGAAATAACTTGGCTTACTGTGCCTATTCTCACCATCACAGCCACCATTGTTAGTAACACAATTTCTTCTTTTTTTCCTGACTCACCCTGAAGGATGATCCTGAAACACTGGTGAAGTGTCTATTGATGTGTCACGAGCTTCTCAAGATGATGGCCCTTTCTAAAGGAATTGATCCAACCATTAATGAAATAATAGAGTCTCTGGTATGTAGCAATAAACACTGTTGTAGGTTATAATAAAAATTGATCTTAGTTCACAGGCAGGATGGTTTGTGATTGTTTCAGAATCATTTTCTATATTTGCAGTACTGTGGCTAGTGCTTCTGAGCTGTTCCAAATCATGCAAGTGCAGCCCAGCTGTGAGCTCAGAATCTACACCAGAACTGAATGCAGCAGGGAGTCACCAAAATAAATCGAGACTCTCCCTGTAGCTGAGTGTGCTGCTTCAAAGAATTTTAAGTCTCCTCTGCGGATAACAGAGGGGGGGAAAATGGGAAAAACCCAGTATGCTACTGTGAGCATGTGATACACTCCCAACTAAATGCTATTGTGCAGTTTCTATCACACCTATCTAGAAAGGTCATAGTTGAATTGGAAGTGGTCAAGAGAAGGGCAGAAAGGGAAAGTATTGGAACAGCTTCTGGGTGAAGAACGGCTAAATGAGTGACTTTTTTTTTTTTTACCTGAAGAGAGGACTGAAGATAGGGTCTGAGACAGGTCAGAAGTCATGGGCATCATGGGGAATGTGAGTGAGGATTCTATAATCATAAGGTAAAGCTGGCAATCACCAAGCTTAAAATAAATGGAATGAGTTGATTCTTCTAATACATAATCTATGGAATTCCTTGTCAAAGGATGCGTGCACGCTGAGAACATGCATAAAATTTAAGGAAACTGAATAAGTTCATGAAAAGAAATATTATGGAGTAATTAGGTATCTAGGAACAGCCTCACATTTCTAGAATGTCTCAGCTACAAATCGTTGGGATGTTGACAACAATTCAGGGGAGGTATCTACCTATCTACCTCACCTGCTTATGTAACACTCTAGGAATTTGGTTTTGATCTTTATTGTTAACAGGGCAATGATCTGCAAGATCTGACTCAGTGTGAGCATTTTGGCAATTTTCTTTCCAGTTTGAACTTTAACACCAGTTCAGAGTAGCTCCAATACTGTGAACAACACCTGATTTCTTTCAGATGTAGAACAATGTTCCAACAAATCATAAGTAGTTTTGATGTGTCCATCATAATTTTTTTAATTAGTTCTTTAATTTCCATGTTTGTTGTTTATTCCACTTCTGTGTTTTCAACATCCTGCTTTTATATTGTTTTTCTTGCTGGGTTTTCTTATGTTAGGTGTTTTTTAAGCTTTCTTCATTAAACACAAAAATATAGATTGATATCATGATAGCATGCATCCTGTATGCAATCTGGCTTTTCTTTCACATGGATTCTTATAGTGACTTCTTAAAACTATTACAGGTAAAGAAAGTAGTGTCAGTATTCTACAATTTAGAACTGCGTACCATTTCTTTGCAAGAATGTCAGTGTATTTCCATGAAGAACTGTGCAGGTTTGTTTTTTGTTTCAGTAGTGGTCAACTATTCTGTCAGAAAATAAAGTCTATTAAAGCAAATACTGGGCAAAGTGCTGGTGGTTCTACTATTATTTTATGTACTTGAAAATCTGATTCTGTTTATATCGAGATAAATGGAGTAGTTACGATTTTCTGGTTTTGCATCACACTGTTATTTCTAGTTTCGGAGTATAATACAATACAGTACACAGTACAGACAATTCCCTGCTTTTGACTTGCATATTTCAATGACAAACTGAGTATTGTTTTTTCCAGATACTTCCTGGTGTAACCAATGTCCACCCAGCTGTGAGAAACATGGCAGTTCTATGCTTGGGTTGTTGTTCCCTTCAAAGCAAAGAATTTGCTCGACAGCATCTTGCATTGTTGTTGCAGGTAAAATTTCTGTTGGAAGATGGAATGGTGGTGCACAGTCAATAAATATAAAGATGTTATAATTATGAAATAAACAAGAGAGCTGGGCAGAGCAGATTATAGTAACAAGAAGAGAACAGATAGAATGCTTACCTGTATCCTGGGCTTGCTGCAAAACTCCAAAGGAGGGATCTCCAGAAAAAATCTTTTCCCACTGGCAGTCAGCTCTTAAATGGGTGTAGGAGAGGTGCAGCCAGGCTCCACCCCTTCTGGCACCACAGGAGAATTGCCTTCAGCTGTGCTCCCCTGGCTGACTCAGTGCTCGCCTCAGGTGATCAGTCAGAGGTTCAGGCTGTGATTCAGCAGTTCCCATACGGGTGGTCATGGGACAGAAAATAAAACCACCTTATATCATACGTAGTTCTGGTGCTCGAGTACCAGCAATTCCTGACTTCCTGAAATTCAGGAGAATGTCTTTTCACGTAGATATTGCTGATGTCTATGAGCAATTAAAACCCTTATTCTTTATGTAGGCTGCTGTCACAAGTAGTGTAGGGCTAAACTGACAAGGGCTCAGTCTCGAGGCTAACCCACCGCATCTCTTTGATTTGGATGTTAATTTGAAGCATAATGCACGTAGTAAACTATAGACCTTCATGAACTTACCTCTCAGTCCCTTGGTGTAATTTGCATAATGTTTATTTTAATTAAGCTACATGGTCTTTCAGAGCAAGGATTGTCTTACACGTTTTTTCTGTAGTGCCTAGCACTATGGACTTAGTACAGATAAATAGCTTTTGTTTGTTAGATGTTTAGAGGTTGAAAGGTAAGATTATGTCTCATACGTGCATATGGTGAGTGAAGCTGCATTTTTTTCCTTATTAATGGAGATCGCATAGAAAATTTGATAGATTATTTCTTAGAATATTATAATTTCAAGTTGCTTAGGCTTCAGCTCAAATCCCACCTTCTGTCTGAAGTTTGTTTTACTTGGGAAACTTTTATATGAAACTTCATGTATAGATGTATAGATCCTGGGATAATCTTACTAAAGAAAAAACTATCCACTGCTATTATTCTAATATTAAGCAGTGCTGCTCTGCTATAACATTATGTTTGTATTTTCTTTATTTAACCTAGGTTTTACAAATAGATAATATAAAGGTAAAGCTCAGTGCTTTAAGAGCAGTCTTTGATCAGTTGATGCTGTTTGGGATTGAGCCATTCAAAGCTAGAAGAGACAGTGAGCCTCAAAGTGAAGAAGTACATGTTGGAACTGAAAGTTGTGAGGAAGAAGGTGAAACAACGGAGAAGAAAGAAGGGAGTGCTACAATTCACAGCTTCCTGCAGCTTCTTTATGGTTTCTTAGACAGTGAGGTAAGAAATATTATAAATCTTGCCTTGTTTTCCTTCTAAAATAATTTCTGCAGAAGGCTTACCCTTCTGCTAGGTTGCGTTTGAACTTTACAGGATGTGTGTTACATAGTCTCGTGTTAAAATACTTAGTTGCCCTAGAAAATAACTGCCACTGATACAAGTAAGTGTGACTTCCGAGCCAGTTAAGCATTTTCTGCAGGTGCAGATACTGAAATGTAGAGAACTGATTTTCAGAATTAGATGTAGACTATGCAGCGCAATAAAGTATTAGTGAAAATCACTTCGGTTGGTGTTTTGTCTCTGAGATCAACTCTCGTCAGTTTTCAGAGCTCAGAACAGAAGCTGCAGAAGGCATAGCCAAACTGATGTTTTGTGGGAGGCTGACAAGTGCCAAACTTCTCTCACGTCTTGTTTTGTTGTGGTACAATCCTGTGACTGAAGAGGACGCTCAACTTAGACATTGTCTGGGAGTTTTCTTCCCTTTATATGCTTATGCAAATAGGTATGGCTTCATATTAAATATTATGTGATGATGTATGTTGATCAAGCAGCTTTGCAGCCCTTTTCAAAATGGCATAAATGCTTGTTAGACCTGCTTAGTTTAATCTTCTATGCAAATTACTTTTGAATATATGCAGACTCAATCTATGGCCATTCTAAAAACTTTCTATGAATTCCCTCTTCTCTGACCTATTTTTTTTCTTTCCTAAGACTCTTTGAAAGTGTTTTTCTGTATATCGAATTAAAAAAATGATTTAAAAGATGTCCTTTATGTTCTTGAATACTACTTTAATAGATGCTATCAGGAAAGGTTAAAGTAGAATGGACAGCTCCCAGTAGGTAGCAGAGAAACAGGATATTTTTGTTTGTTTTATTAACTGAAGTGTGTGCCAAAGTAAAGGCACAACAGATTCAACATCTTTTGGTAGTGGACAGATATTTATTACCCTGTGTGGCAGCTGATTCAGAGCAGTCTGCAAAGTTGCCACTCAGAAAGGGAAGGTAAATGTGTGAGTTGTGCGGAGTTTTGTGCCTAATTTTGGTGCTGATCTGTCACTGAAATTTAAATTCAGTATGTTTTGTGTGTGTTGTCCAGATGTTCCCATCTGATCACAGCTGTAGTCCAGAGGCTTAATTTTTGAAATGTTTATAAAATGTTGATGGCTTTTATGCATAATATTCTGTTGCATCATTAGAATGGCGTGGTGCATTAATGGCAGGGACAGTGTCCTGCAATCAGTGAACAATTCTTAATTCTGAAATGTTTATTAAAGAGTAATAATTTCCTTGGCAGCTTTGTGTGTATGTACTACAGTATATCTTAAAAATGTTGTTTTTCTAGCTTGTAGGAAATAATCTGGATATGTCAACTGTGTTTCACCCAACTTAAAGCACAAATCATTAAGTGGGAGAGTTCTTGCTTCTGTACGTTCCTGCCCCACTTATAGTGCACAAAAAGTCTTGTGCAAAAAGACAAAAAGTGCACATTTGAGTCAATGATCCAGAAGCAAACAATCTAGTGTTTTTAAGTTATTTATCTCATCAGTTCTGTCCCCCAGTTAATTGGGTTCAAATAGAAGGTGAGCAAGTATCTGAGATTAAAAAAGCAAATAAACAAAAACACCAAACAAGCCAAAAGGGCTTTGCTTCCCTCGCCAGTACTTCATATGATTTGGCACAGTACCTTTTAAATTGTTTTGACCCGTGGAACTACACCTTGCCACAAAACCCTGTGCAACTGTGTGGGTCATAGGCTTGGTTGGCAGGGGTCCTGAACTCTTCTGAGCTCAAGAAAACACAAATATTTCTTTCAGAATGCTGTTGATCACCACGTTTTTTTTGCCAGGCTTCATTGCTTTCTTACAATGAGATGTATGCCCAAAGAGAATTACTAGCAGAAAGGAGGAATGAGCAGAAGAAAAATGAAGATATAGGGAAGTGTGTTTCTGTCCCTTGAAGAGAATCTGTGTGTATGTATCAGTTAGGCTTTCTGTGGTAAGTGGTTAGGTGCAGAAGTAGGGAGTGTTACATAACATTTCCTAGGAAAAAGCCCAGTGAGCTAAAGCTTTAGAGGAGTTGGTTCTACAAGGCAGGTTTTGTGATCCTGCTGCCTGTCTCTGGTGAGATTGGCCTGTCCTCTGACAGCTGAAATATATGAAGTTGAAAGCTTTGATTGTAGAAGAAAAGATTTAATTCTGTCTCATTATGCTGCTAATGCTCGATTCAACTGAAACAGATCCAACCAGGAATGCTTTGAGGAAGCTTATCTTCCAACTCTGCGGACGCTGTTAAACGCTCCTGCAACTTCACCCTTGGCCGAAATAGACATCAGTAATGTTTCTGAGCTGTTGGTGGATCTGACCAGACCCAGTGGACTGAGACCTCAGGCCAAGAAGTCTCAAGAGTATCAGGTATACAGAGGGTTGAACTGGAAGAAAGCATTACTTGTAGTTGATTCAGAGCACTGATTAAGCAAGTGACTGTTCAGGCTATTAAATATTTCTCTTTCACTCTTACACTTTGGTAATACTAAAAGGAATTTGCACCATCCTTATTGACCCATGCTGGGAAAAGCAGCTTTGAAAATCAGTTAGTGAATGTACCCAAAATTCTGCATTTAAAAAAACAGATATTTGCTATGCAAAATTATAAGCTGTCTAAATTAGAATGATGTAGTTGTTGCATGTATTTGATTTCTTTCTTTCACAGGACTTAACAGTGCATGATAATTTAGCACTGAAAATTTGTAATGAGATCCTGATGGACCCAACTGTGCCCGATGTTCGTGTTTATGCGAGAGCGTTAAGTTTGTTGGAAATCAGTAGTTCTTCCACAGAGAATCTTCTGCTTCTGCTTGATGAGATTCTGGAGGTAGTATATAAATAACATGGCTCTTTCTAATGCCAAAAGCAGTCTAACATTGTGATGTACTTAAAAATGAAGTGCCTGCTGTTTGTTATGATAACCTGACTGAAGTTTTTCATTGAAAATGAATTTCTCAAAAATTGGTTAAAGAGGCGTTTACAAAAATCTGAATCTGACAGAGAAAGATAAAGCTATGTGAAACGTTGAAGAGTCCTGCTCCCCTACAGGGATGCCATCAAGAAGTAGCAACATTCCATCTCACCTTGAGAGGTCCTGTAACTTTATTATCTCCTCAGATTGCCTCTTTAAAAATAATAAGTCTTTTGGGGTTGCGGGGCCTGGTGGTGATGGAGAAAATCTTTCTCCTTTCAACCAGAATAATCAGCTTCATGTGATGCTTTTTGTCGTTCTTAACAGTAAATCCAACTAATGCTTGTAATTGGTATACTTAATAAAATAGTCGTAAAATTAAGTAGCTGTTAATGTTTAGTGTCTCTTCCCAGAAAGTGAGAGATAAATTGTGCCAAAGAGCTATTGAGAGGATCAAGAAGAACTTGACCAAAAGTACAAATGTGAGCAAAGATCACTCTGAAGGCATGGAGGAAAGGGGAGTTTCTGAAAAGACACTGGAAAATGGCAAGACATTATCTGCAGATTCTATTCAAAATGAGGAAGGTAATTCAGGAGAAGTGTAAGATAGGAGACGTGCAATTGAATGTCCTGCAAGGATTTGTATGAAGAGAAGTCTTGGTTATTCCCCTACCAAACAAGTCTACTGTTGGGGAAAAAAAGCGCAGAAAAATAAATATGCGTACTGTTGAAAGTAACTCAGAACAAATAAATATCTTATTATTGTTACTTGAATGTAAGCAGTGCTGTATTTTGTAGGTCTGCCCTATAGTTCTTTCTTTTTAAAAAAGACAATATTAACTTCTGATGTTTTCTTAAGCTGCTTGGCACTTCTCTGCCAGCCAAACCTTGTGCTGTCTTACAAGGAGTGACATGTGACTCCTTGCATCTTTAGAACGCAGTTCAGTAAGACTCCAGTGGACTTGGACTCCAATGGAGTAACGGTGCACTTCTGGCAGGCTGTGTTACAGTTATGTACAGTCAGTGCACTGAACTGTTTACATTGGTCTCTTATTCCCAGTCCGTACGTTGAACCAGGTTTGTTTTTATTGCTATTTGAGCTTATAGTGGAAGAGGCTGGAAAACTTTCCGCAGTCAGCACAGCTGATGCAGTGGTGCACATCTTAGCAGTGTATGTTGTGTTGGTGGCACAGGAAATCTAATCTGTTTCAGTTGAAAAGCAATCGGATGAAATGTGCTCAGACTTCCTTGGCTTCCTCCACAAAGACTGACACACAGCTATTTTAAGCAGGATATCACTTTAAAAAAAAATAAATCTTAATTTTAAAATGAATGCTGTTTATATCCTAGTAGATTACTCCAAGACTTTAATCTGCTTCTGAAGGCATCAAGTGTCTTCTGTGTTACTATCTTCTATGCTTATGTGTTGGATGGGAAGCTGGAACTCTAAAGCAGCTTCATACATCTTTATAAAATGTTGTGCTCACAGCAAATGGTATCTTGGGATGAATCTCTCCCAAAAGAGGGATTTTGAGAGCTTTAGGCAAGCTGTAGGAGAAAAGCATTGTTTTCTTTCAAAATACGATCACTGAAAGTCAAGGGGTGTTCTTCAAATACAGAAATGATGGATGAGAGCAAAATGAGTTACTTTTTGTCCTTTGATTCCTGCAAAGGAGATACGATTTTGACCTTAAGAAAAAAAACTTCCTAGCAGTGGCATAAATTGCTGAAGAAAGGGATTTCCTGAAGTCATCAGTAATTTTAGGGATGGGGGGCAAGCAGTTCTCAGGGATAGTTTACTTGTGACTGTGGGAGCATTTTATAGCTATGATGGGGTGATGTTACAGCTGAGTGACACCTTAAACCTCCTTCTGGCCTTATTATTTAATTCATAGTTAGAGGAAATTTGTAGTTTAAGGAAAATGGATTTAAAACTGTATGGATTTTTTGGGTACTGGTTAATGTGCTGATATTTACAGTAAATTGAAAGCTGATTATCTGACTTCTGCACGTATCATTCTGCTTAACAGAAAATACTAAGGATGTTCTTCATACTCCAGTCACTGAAGTGAAAAATAAAGAAACTGCAAAAGTGAAATCCACGAGAAACAAAACTGGCAGAGGTATGCATTGGGTTTTTCTGGCTACTATAATGGCAGATTCAAAGATTAACTCCTTGTGAACCTCTTTTTTCATACAAACAATGCAGTCTTCATAATATGCTTTTAAAAAATGTATTGAAGGATGAAAATAGACTTTTCTGCTTTTAAAACTTTTCTGCTATCAGAGAAATCAATCAACAACAAAAACAACCAAAAAACCAAAGAACTTCTCTGCCTACAAGGTTTCAAGATGGTCGCAGTTGTTTACAGTAACGTCCAGGTGACTGTGAAAAGTCACCTTGTCTGTGGGTTTTCAGTTGTTAATGTTTTGAAGAAAACATTCCACTCAGTGTTGTGACTGCATGTCATGTGCATTTCAATACATCATTGATCACTAACTGAAAGACGCAAAACTGGTTTAACAAAGGAAATAAAGTGATGTGAAGAGGTTTTTGCTTCTGCGTAGGGCAAAGAAAAGCAGCAGTGGGAACAAGATCTGTGAGCAGAAGGAAAACTGGCACAGCTGTGAGATCTGGTAGTGAAAGGTAAATACTACTTCTCTCTGCCTTCAAAAGCACGATGTCCATTCTAGAAAGAAACTTAATTCCTTCCTAGAAAGGAATATTTTTCTTTCCCCAAACCTAATGCTTAAGAAAAGTATTTTTCTGCTGATACTTTAGAAGTTTTCAAATCTACTGCTGTTTTTCAAATGCTATTATTCCTCAGAGCTGGTACATTTTTTTTTTAGATCTTTTGTGTGTAGAATTAATATACGTTTATACGTTTTGTCTGTCAGAAGTTCCATTTTTTGATTGCATTTCTTTTCTGACCACTTCTCTGCTTTTTGTTTTAATACCATTTCTGTGCAGAATTCTGAGTATTCAATGTTTTTTCCCCTCCACATTTCTGGCTTCTATTTCTGTTTCCTATCTTCCAACACTTAAAAAAAACATCTAAAGTGTGTTCCTTCCCTTCAGATCTTGTAGGATAGAAACATTGAATTATCTCTATAATTATCAGTTGCTTTCATCCTTTTTCAAGCAAGTAACCCCCAGATTGAGGATCATCAGGGTTAGCCATTGCAGTTTGCCTGTTCAGTGTTTGCTTTGGGGATTTTACCTATTTTGCAACTGCTGATCCTTGGTTATCTTACAATCAGAGAATCACAAGGCTGGAAAGGACCTACAACATCATCTAGTCCAACCGTCCTCCCATTACCATTATCTTTTCTGATGCTGCTGTATCACCTGGAAAACACTCATAAATTCTTGTTACTAATTACATACTTTCTATACTTGAGCTTTTTTTGTTAAGGATTTACTGTACAGTGATTTCAAGTTTTCTATTAACAAACCCTTTCATTTGTTTAGTCTTTTGGGCCTTAATCTTAAAATACTTTATATTTCAGCGATGATGAAATGCCAGAATCAGTCCCAGTGCCAAGTTCAAGGCCTTCGAGACGAGCAAAGACTGCAGCACTTGAAAAAACAAGAATGAACCTTTCGACCCTTTTGCGTACGGAATCTGATGAATAAAGACAAACTGAGGGGAAATGTCCCCTGCTAATGCTGCTTATTAACAGCAGGCTTGAAAAATTAAGGTTTCTCTTGTCATTAGTGTCATTTAATTTTTTCAGTATTTGATCATTTATAGCTCCATACTTTTCTAGGAACTTTTGAGTAACTTCCCCTTATGAAGTACATCATTGATGTAATAAAAACATATTAAAATATTACCTGAAGAAAAAAGGAGGTTTTTTTTTTACTTACAAATGTAAATTTTCAGACTTTGTTTAACATGATGTTAGTATTTAATGTTATTCAGAGAGAACGCTTGACCTGGAGTGGTTGCGTGATGGCAGCGCTTCTGGCTGTACTGTTAACACACCTACTGTCTTTCCTTCTTAGCCTGCACATCTGCTGTCCCTCAGGAGGCCTTTATGGTTTGTGTTAATTGGGAATTCTGCTTCTTGGAGATAAATGTCTGCTTTATTTTAAATGACATCAAAAGGGCAAAGCCATAATTAACTCTACAAATCAAAGCCTGGAAGCCTGCTACCGACCGGAGGGGGGCAGGAAAGGAGGAGCACTTCCCTCCCTGGAAGTGTTAAGACCAGGCTGGATGGGGCCCTGGGCAGCTTGTGGGTGGGGCATGGAACTGAGTGGGCTTCAAGGTCCTTTCCAACCAAACCGTTCTGTGATTCTGTGACCTTGTTATATGAAATTGCTAATGTGCTTTTAGAAATCATAAAAGAAGTACCTGATAAGTATCCAATTAAGTAAGGTATAGAAAGGGCAAAAAATATAAGCTTCTGCATACCGTCTGTTTAAAGTGGCGGACAAAAGTGATTTCTATGACTCTGAAGATCACAGAGGTTTTTCTAATGACATATTTAGGAATAGTCAAAAGTTTTACAGAGACAATAGAAGATTAACTTTAAAGTGTGCCAAACATTCACTGTTGGCTGAGCACATTAATTCTGGAAATGTTAGGGGTTTGGTTTGGAAACACTCTGTCGATCGTATCCTTCTGTGTTACCATTTAATTTCCAGGGCAGTCAGTTAAAACTTAGGTTGACTGTTCACTCTGCACGTGTCAGTGCAACTTTCCAATGAATTTGTTTGAGATAGATTCATATGTGGCTCTGATCTTCGGTATTTCTCTGAAATGGCTTAAGGACTAAACAAGTGAAAAGTAGCGTTCTCAAAGCAAGGTGCTCCAGCTACTATGCTGTTTTCAAGTTTGCATACAGAAGAGACAGGACTATGTTCCTTTTCATCCCTTTCAGTTTTTGTTGGAAATCTTTCAAACCACAACATGCCACAACACATTTTTGTGCTGTGATATTTGCTATTCAGAGGCTTATGTAGCTATGAATTATTTTTTTATTCATCATTTCAAACTGAATTTTGAAGTTTGAGTTCTTTCTTTAATAGTTCTCTATCAAACGGTGTTCCCCGGTGAGTTTGCAAGCATGCAACCACTTGCAATCAAAGATGTGGGCTTGAAGGCTACCTGAACAGAGCTCAAAGGATACACACACCTTGCAGATTTTTTCAGGTGCTTGTCAGTCAAAGCTTCCCCCACACTTTAAATACTACTGTCTTTTTTAAATATATGTGTGTGTGTGTGTGTGTGTGTATGTTTCACATGAAGCATGCACTCTGAGAATGAGTGGTTGATGCTTCTGCCACTCATACACTACCAGCAGCTGCTGGTAATCCCTTTGTTATTTTGCTTAAAATGAGTTTCTAGAAAAAAAAACGAAAACAAACAAACAAAAACAAACAAAAACAAACAATAAAAATGTTTAAAGGCTTCTGTAAATGCTTTTCTGAATAAATTGAAGATCTTCAGTTCTGCCTTTTGTCCTGCCTTGCCGCACATGCAGGTCCCATCCCTGGAGTCTCTTCAGGAATGCTGTACTGAAAGACCAGGTTTCTCTGAAGTGTCAGTCAGTGGATCTCAGCTGTGCATGTGGTTTCACTGGTGTGTGTGCTAACAAAGGCATCGACAAACCGGACTGAGTTTGAGGGAGGCCCTCAGCCTGGCTGGGGCTGGAGAGCTCCCCTTGTGAGGGGGAGCTGGGCTTGGGCCCCAGCTACCTGCAAGGATGTGGAGCTTGGTTCTTTGTTGCTGCACGTCATGAGAGGACAAGAAACAAGGGGACTGAAGTCAAAACTCAGAGCAGACACAGGGAGGAATGGGCAATTGGACAAGTTGCACGAAATGGCTGTGCAGGGTCAGTCCTAGGAGGTTTTTGAGACCTGACTCAGGAGTCCTGAGCAACCTGGTCTGATCCCACAGTTGCCCTGGCTTTGGGCATGTGGTTGAAGCTCTTCGGGTTCATCTCTACCTGAATTACCCCATGATGTTCCTTCAGGCCGGAACTTTCATCAGGAGCCAGGAGGAAACTTCTGTCCCCTTTGTGGGTATTCCTCTGCCAAGGGAAGGGTTTGCAGTGCAACAGAACATACGGTCAAAAAACCACCTCATCTTCTGAGAAAGGTGCTTGCTGAATTGCAAGGGCAGTATGGTTAGGTGTGCTTCTCAAAGCTAATCGCTGGCAATAAGGGAGGTTGATTGTTTACTTGCAGAATCAAAAAAACTCTACAAAGTCTATAAAAACTAAAACATTTTCTCCTGGTGAGAGTTTCCTTTGGCCAACTGCTATCTTAAGGTGAAGAATGAGTGCTTGTACTCTTTCTAGTTGTTTCTTGTACCTTTGAAGTGGTTAGTGAGCTTGTGTTATGCGGATGCCTCACTGCTAACTGAAAGCTTCTGAACCCATCAATGAATTGAAACTCAATTTGACAGAAAGTAATGGATCTGAATTTTTACAAGTTCACAGAAATAGATGCTTGGAAGTGAGACACTTCTGTAATGGAGAAGTTCTGCTGTATATTTGGTATATCTGGATACCAGATATTCTGGTATTTGAGAGGATGAGAAATCTGCATGGTACCTCCTTCAGACACACAGGAATAAGGACAGGATGCATCAGTTCCACGGCTTTTATGACTTTCTCCATTCCTTTTAGTTCCTTGTACCTTGTTGGTGCTCCACTGAAGTCAACTTCAATGTCTCTCTCTCAGGAAGTTTTATTCTCATCTTTTTGCTCCCAGAGAATCCAAATACATTAATTGTTTAAGATACATAAGGACCATCTAGAGGGTGCAATCAAGAATGTTCATTCTGTACCTTGTCCTGCTCTGATGTCTCAGGGACTCAGTGGTCTTGAGGGAACTTGAGAGTTACAGTGATTCACAACCATTTTTTTAACTTACTTACAAATGCAATCAGTAATTAAACAAGCTTCAGCAGAGAAGAGTTGCATCATCTTCTTAAGTACTGCGATATTTTTAAGTGAATACTCAAAAGATTTGTTAGATAAAATACAGAATTTTCCAAGGAAAAATTTTCTTCTGGGTTGGTTCTCTGCAAATAAAGGCAATGCAGTGAACTTAAAAACCTCTACTCTAGCTATTGAATGTATGACTCCAGCAAAGAGAAGTGTATTGTATGGTTTTATTCTAACACTTGTTATAGCTCTATTAATAATCAAGTTTGGATGAATAAAGTACATAAACCTTGCTAAAGCTTATTTAGGCATGGAATGTCTACAATGTAGTCAGCTACAACCATTCACTACTTCTTTGAGTAGAGTTTTTTGATGATTACATTGAATTTCCAAAGTACAAGTAGAAAAAAAAAGAAATAGGAAGAGCATTTACATCCATTTTAATTGGTGTCAGGCATAAATTCATTAAAACAAAAGGGGAAGAAAGACCGTTCAGCGGAAACCTCCAAAAGTGCAGATACAGATTTGCTGAATGACAATCGTTCAAGAGATTCTCCTGCAAGCTTGGCCTTTCTTTGAGACATTACGGTCATTAAACACTGCCACACAAAAGTTCTCAAGATAAATGAAGATGAAAGCCTACTGCAGAAACAAACTGGCTGTTCGTACATTTCAATCCATTTATGAAGGAGATCTTGGATACTTTACCTTCTCGACACAGCTTTGCTTCGAGGTAGTCAGTCTCCACCTGGTACAGATTTGTTTGAATTGTTATTACCATAAATTGTTACATGGTGACTTATGCCACAATTACGTAATATATTAACTTTCGTGCACAAAAATAAAATTGGGAAACAATAATTAAACTTAGAGAACAGAAAAATCACAATACTATTGAAGGGGAACATCTGATTCTGATATAAATCTGTACTGCAAGAATTCCATGAGAGTGAGATGTGAAATTTCATATTTAAAAACAAAAAAAAGTACATCAAAATGAATAATGCTAATAGTAATATAAAGCCAAATCACACAAGATCAGTTCATGATCAATGTAATAAATGCTTATTGTTCAGCAGAAAAAAAAATCAAGAACAATGTACAAAATAATAGTGCAAGAACAGCTGCAATCTATTTGTTCTCCTCAGTTTTGAGATTTTGGTTAAAAACTTTACAGCTGGCAAGAGATGCTGTTGAAAAACTCAGATTCCACTCAGTGGGCTGATTAAGGCACATCTTTATGGACTTCAAATGTTCATTTTCTGTGTTCACATCTATTGAATTCTGCGGCTCAGAGACTTTCACTTGTAGCGTGCTGTGAGGAAAGAAGTGGGGGTCGGAGAGGGGAGAAAGAAATGAGAGAAAGTTTAGTATGCTTTCCTCTTTGCCCTGCAAACAAGCAAACTGATAAAGGCGAGGTGGTGGCAGGCTGCCTGTACTGGTTTATGGTTTTTTGTTTTATTGCAGTATGTTCCAGAAACAGCCCAGGACCAGCAGACCAGAACATAACTGTGCTAGGCTCTCCATGCTGCGAAGCTGGGTGGGGCTTGTTTGTGTAGGAGCAGCTGATTTTGTTCGTTTACAGAGACTGTGCTAGGTGAGACTCCTGCCACCAACATTCCTTTGCACAGGAGCAGCAGTCTGCAGCCTGGCCTTCCTTAATCCAAATCCACTGTAAAACCACAGAACAGGAAATGGGCAGAAATTATTTTGTCTTTAATGACATTATTTTGTACGGCCATAAAAAGACTAATATAGAGACAAATCTAGGACAGTAAGTAACAGGAGAAGGAAAAGAAACCCGGTTCTCTGTGGGGATCACTAAGCAAACCAGGACATAAATGTGGATTGAACCATGTTGCCATGTAAAGCACTGTAGTGGTTCATGCTCAGGTGAGGAAAGAAAAAGGCAGAGTTTGGAATACTGTCCTGCCACTTAATGAAAGAAAAACAAAGAAATCAAATCAAAACCTCAAAAAATCCTCAAGGAATGAATTTCAAACCTCTCCATCCCTACTCTATTTCACTGCAGAGATCTTTGTCCCACGTGCAACAGTGTTCATCACCATCCTTCTCGAAGTGCAAGACTGGTAAAAAGTGGGAAACATTCCTAATTATTGAGATAGCAAACATGAAATTCAATGTACTGTAATGAAGGTTAGGAGCTAACAATCATGCAGTAAAGTACCTGCACCCTCTTGCTGCTTTTAAAGGAATCTTTAAGCAGCAGAATACCCCACCTTCTGCATTTCAGGAAGCCAGGTCTATCGCAGAGCTTAAGTGCAGATTATCAAGGACTGACTGCGCTGCAGCCTGTAGTGTTCACTGCAGTTCTAGTTCCTGATTATGTAACCATACAATTAACTTTGTAGCATATGTGAAGACCTAAGCAAAACTGCTTATAACATGGGTGAACAGTAGGAGGATGCCAAGTAGTTGAAAGACTCTACCCTGAGATGTACTGGTTTGCATTACTTAAGTACTATTGGCTGATTCACATTAAAGTTTTTCTCTTGATGGCAAGAGGGAATTATAGCTTTTTTAACAGCTGAAGTGGCAATTTAATATTTTTCACAGATCACTTGAAACACAATTTTCATGCTTTACATTTTTATGCAAGCTCTCTGGAAAGTTTTGTGCCTTTGTAATAATGCAAAGAAGGTGCATAGCACTTCTAATTTACTAATCCTTATTCCTAACCCTCTGTAAATGGGGTACTGCCCCCCAGCCAGTATTTTGTTTGTCCTTACTCTTCAGAGCGATCCTTTGTATTGTTTTTGCCTTTGCACCTTTTTCCTTCATGGCGTTTCAGGTTTGCACGTGCTTTTGTTACTCTGATCAATTCTTTCCCATTGGAAACAGAGCACGCAGTGCTCTGTGGAACCAACAGAGAAAGACATCAGTCAGTAGGGTTAAATTTTTGCATTTACAG